ATAACGAGTTGATATTTACCGAACATAGAACCAGCGATTATTCCATAGCCGAGCACCTTACTTAAAAGCAACTTAAAACAAGCAACTAAAAATTGGTAATATGAAAGGTTGCAATACCATCAAAGAGATCCTTTTCAGAAATGTATTTTTTTACACATCTATCCGGAACCAAGACCGATAAAACGGATGCAAATAATTTTTCCATCACTCGGATACACGTAGCTGTTTCCCAGTCGTTCCAACGGAAACGTGATTAAATTTGCTGAAAGACGACTCAGTTGCCGATTGGCTAGTAGGTACCTGGGCCGCGCGTTGGTCCCGCCCCCAAATTCTACAACCTCGCGCCCTTTACGAAAAGCTACTTCATAAACGCCAGCGATGTAAGATGTGTAAAGTCTTGCTTTTCCTTCCCCTCGTATGATGGATTGAAATTGCCTGATCCAGATTTCTCCGTTGGGCTGGTAATTGTGTAGCGAAAGATTACTCGCTGTACTGGTGTGTTAGGAGTTTTCTCAACAGACAAGCATTCGGAATCAGCCATGCCAATGATTCGGGAGAGAGTAAATGAGACGATCATTGTTTAGCCATGAACCTATATTAGTCAAGGGAAACAGAAGGAAAACGGAAAAAAGTGTGTAAGAAAACGGCAATTGAAAAGATTTAGAGGTGCCGTTGAGAAAGAAATGGACTTAGAAGCCAAGACTGATAGGAGGTCGGCTCAGTAGAGATGTGAGTTTCGTCGTCACAGTGGCTAGAAATCCAGGAATAAAAGCCGAGAGTTCAACAAAATTATCCAACAGAATCCCGTCAGTGGACAGTACCAATGCCTCCTGTTTAGTTTTCACACGTTCCCCGGTGCCCTTGTCGACAACGTTGGGTTTGAATCAGATATACAAACGGATAAATGAGTGTGCTTAAGTTTTGCGTTTGTGAAGGATACCGTAAAGGGCATCTACTGTGGCTTGATGGCGACTCAGATAATAAAGTACGTGGGGGTGAGAATGTCCAGGATAACTAAGGGTGCTGGTGTTATGACCCGCTCCTGATACTTCTAATTAACACGAACGCCGAACCAAAGAGCCCGTAAGAGAGGCAGAGCGAAGATCAGTCGGCCAGAGAATGAGAGATAGTTTTCTCAGACAAGCACGTTACAGCAAGTCAGCGCAAGTCTTTGAGTCTAAAAGGTGCAAAAAGTTTAGGGCAACGAACGAGTGTAAGCAAGGCCCATCGAGCCAATCAGCTTTTGGCTACCGGCGCGATTGGCTGACAGTCGGCGGCTGACATTCAGCAAACATTTTGAATTATCAATTGATTTGACTGCGAGGTGTGTTCGCTGCCTGTAGGCCTATCGATAGCCTGCTGTGAGCGCGGCTGCTTGCGCAGGCTGTCTATATGTTAGGCGTCTCCTAACAGAGTAATCGTGGGAAAAGGTGCATTCCCAGCACCTCCACTTCAAGTATGTGAGTACCACTGATGGCGTGGATTGACTTGTAAGCGCTGCGGACTTTGGCGAGCACAGTTGGTCCGGCGTGTTGTGGGCAATTTCAGATCTACGTGTGTGGGGTTAGGAATTGGTTCCAAAAGCGGTACATCCGAAGTGACTGCAGGAGTCGGTTCGGGAACTGACTGGTCCGCTGGAATGGCAAAGTTATCCAGCAGGATGTCGAGAGGAAGTCAAACGCCTGATTCAGGTGCGGTTGGATTGCTGTACTGTCGCCGTCAAATCTGATTGTGTTGACGAACTCACTGACAGAGACGTCAAATAGCATATTGCCTCAATGCGCAGTTATTGTCCATTCAATCCAGTCTGGAAACCCTTCGCGGTGGTCACAAACAAAGACCGGAGTTCCGATGGAGAGTTTGTCACGAGAGACAGCTGGCAGTGGCTGTGAGGACGGCAGTTTAGTAGGCAGCAGCGCATAAAACTTCGGTCGAAGTTTCCGGCCCATTAAGGCTTCGGTGGGGAAACACCACCAGGAGACGCCGCATTAGAGGTGGTCCTGTAGGAGAAGAGGACCTTCTGGAAGTGTCAACAAAGCGTTCTGCCTGACCGTTTGATTGGGGATGGTAGGGCGGGGAGCGCAGA